AATCTCTTCATACAATCGGTAAAAATGTTCTAAATCATACGATAAACACTTAAAATAATACAGTTTACTCATACAATTACATCTTCAAACAATCTTCTCTTATAATTATCAATGCATTCCCTTAAGGTTTTTCATAGGAATCCATAGAGATCTCAAATCATACAATTACAATTCTAAAACTCAAATTAATCATTCACTCAAGCACTTCATACAATTAATTACATATAAGAAGAACAATAGATGAAACAGACACAATTGGAGAAAATTCCTCATACATGAGCATACAACAAACTCAGGATTGGAGGCCAATCCCACTACCCAACATACATTCCCACACCTATATAGCGAGGTTTCTCAATCCTCCCTTACCTTGTTGAGCAGAAAAGATGAATGGTTAAATTTAGGGTGGTTTCCTCCTCCTTCCGAATCTCCGAGCTCTGGAGCGTAAACGCGTAAGTGAGAAAAATGTGAAAATGTAAAACTGACCAGCTTTTTTTTTTTTTTTTTTTTTTTTTTTTTTTTTAAACTTAACCTCCTTTTAGCCCTTTAGTAAAAATGTGAACCATGGTTATCAAAAATAATTTCCCTTCCCTTATTATAAATAATTAAAATAAAATATATTAATAATTACAATAAAACACATAATTTTCTCCAAATACTTATTATAACAAAATATCATAAGAATACATAGTTCTCTAATAAATATTACACAAAATAATTTTCATAAATATTTATTATTTAATTAAAATACTCATAATTATTAAAAACCTCTAAAATATTCTATAAAACCCATTTAATTAATTAAAACAATTATAAGAAAGTAGTCCCAATAAATATAAAAATAAATAATAAATAAACTATTATATTAGTAAAAAATTGGGGATGTTATATTATCTATTATCAAATTTTTAAATTATTAAAATTTAACTAATGTTTATTTTCAATAAAATTTAATATTGAAATTTTAAATTTTAATCAAATTAAAAATTGAATTTTATATATGATGAAAATTAAGTAATTAAAATTTAACAAATTTAAATGAAATTATTCAATCAAAATAATTAAAATTTCAAGTATCTCAACTTTTAAATGTCTTCATCTAAACACGATCTAAGAGAATTTTTTAGGTTATTTATAAAATTAATATAGATAAAACCTTGTGTGTGTGTGAATATGTGTGTGAATATATTTTTTTAGCTTATTTATAAAATTATTTAGGAAATTTCACTACTTAAGCCATATGCAATATCATTTTGAATAGAATTATATATATATATATATATATATATATATATATATATATATATGTGTGTGTGTGTGTGAGTGTGTGTGTGAATATGTGTGTGTCTATATATATATATATATCTTGATTTTTTTTAATAATTTTACATGTAATTCAAAAGAAAAAAATAAAAATTGGACCAAATAATCCCAATGCCTTCCAACCTAATTTTTATTAACTCAGTCTAACCTGATTGTCTCTTTAGACTTAGTCAAATTGGCCTAAATTTTGTCAAATCTGAACAAAGAGTCCAACTTGGCTTAATCTAGCGAGTCAATGAGTCAACCCATCAGCTTAGATCAATTTTGACAATTTTAGAAGTTAATGAACATCATAAATTTGAACACCTTATTCAAATTCAATAACATAAATGGGAAAATATCATTACATGGATGATTATAAGTAGAGAAATGTTATTTAAGAATACATGAAGTTAAAATCAAGTGTTATTTAAAAGATTGAAAAAATTGTATTGATTTTATTTTTTTCATTCAAAATTTATCATTTATATTATTATTTTTTAAAATTCTATATTATTTTTCAAAATCTCATAAAACTCTTTCAAATTTTATAAATTCTTATGATATAAATTCATTAAAAATTTATATTAATTATAAAATCTTGATTATAAGATCATTTAAAAAAAACTTAAAAATTATTATATTTTAACAGATTCTTTTAAAATATAGGAGACTTTTTTTTATTAAAATAATTTTATGAAATCTTAATTCAATATATTTATGAAGATAATTAATGTTACGATTTTTTTTAAAATTAAAACAATCAAATTATTTGTTGGTGCGTAATTTAATTAGATAATATATTTATTTTTTAGTCAAAAACTAATTTATTTATTATTTTATATAAATATGATAATTACTATAATTTTATTTTAATACATTATGAATAATAATTTTTTTATTTTTATTAATATTATTTAATTTTTAGTTTTTTAATATAATTTTTAATTATATTTTTAATATTATAATTTACTTAGATACTTATTATTTACTTTTAATATATTATTACTTTAATTTTAATTTTATATTTTAATTCATTAGTTTTGACAGATTGTAATATAATTTATTTATTTTAATATATCACAAAACAGTAATTTTATATTGAAATACAAAATTAATATATTAAAATCAAATAATAAGTGTCTAAATAAATTATATATATTAAAAAGTAGGTA